ATTAGTTTTGGTCACTAAAATTTTCCAAAATTAGTTGTTTTTCAAACATTAAAAAAAATGTTAATATTGACTGTTATCGCTGCCCGTCTCTACCATTTTCAGTGGCAACTTTCAACAAATCATATGCTATTTTGAAACTCTCGACTCGACTTATCCAACTTACATTTTATTTCATCATAAGATACCTCGAATTTCGTCAAAATTGTTGTTAAAACTTCCAAAATATTTCAAATAATATACATCTTTGAGTTGGACCGAATGCTACTAAAAATCACACTGCTGGATTTTCAGGACAAACGCACATAAGAAAACCAAAATTCTAAAGGCATTCAATGGTGTACCCCAATCATCGATCGAGTCACTTGATCGCCGAAGATTAGTGTTGTTAAATTAAACGAGCCTGACTCAACTTGTTTGGTAAACGAGCTGAGCTCAAGCTCATTTAGAGCTTGTTTGGTTAACTAGTTGAGCTCGGCTCGTTAAGATACGAAAAGAGAATTTTTATATGTTTTCTATAATTCGGCTCGTTAAATCTCAATATCGACTCGTTAAGGCTCGAACTCAGCTCGTTATTAGTGATAAATGAGCAGAGCTCGAGCTCGACCGGTTTACATGCCTATCGGAGAAAAGCCGACAAAGTTTTCAGTTTTCCCAACCGCCGCACCTTACCGTTTGAAAATTAAAATTGTTCTGATAAAATTGAAATTCAAGAAATGAAATGACTGGGTGATTTAAAAAAGAGAACAATTATATTGGTAATTTTTTTATTTTTTCTATTTAAAATGAAAATGTTTTAATATCTACTTACATCTAGATATGTAAAACAAAACCAACAAGTCACGACTTCAACCAAATCTACAAATCTATATCAATCATTATGTTGAAACCAAATCTTATTTTTTTTTTTCTTAAAAGTAATTTATTATAATCATTTCAGAATATCTCCAATGCTATTCTACCATGCAACTTTACTTCAGAGTTGTGCGAAAACTTGATCTAATATTACGCTTCATTTCACACCACTTTGAAGATAAAAAGCAGTATTGTGTTGCATATAGTGCGGTACTATTGACATACGTCAATTTTACGTGAATTTTAGAGTGATATTCGTGCTCTTTTTGTCGCAATTTGATATATATTATTATTTATTTAATTAATTCTATTAAGCTATGACATGGTGTTTTCTTTTGAGTTTTGATAAGTGTTCTAGAAGTCGCTAGGTGCCCGCTAAGCGCTCGACCAACGCCTAGCGCCTAGAGTGCTTAGGCGGGGCCGAGTTGGCGCCTAGGCAGAACCTAGAAATCAATATTAAATACCTTATTATTTTTATTTATTATCACTACCTACAAAATAAAACTATCTCAACTTGTATTAAATCAACACACCTAAGTCCAAATAATAATATTAGTATATTATAAAGAAAACATGATAACAAAATAATGTAATAAGTCTTTAAAAAATTTAAAAAATAAATTGAAAAATTTCCGTCGAGCCCGCCTAGGAACACCTAGGTGGCGCCTAGGTCCGCCTAGGCGCCGCCAAGCCGCCTGGCTGCCGAGTCCGCCAAGCCCGCCTAGGTCCACCTAGGCGCCACCTAACTGTCTGGCCAATTTTTTCAGTCGATTTATGCAAATCGGAGGCGGCCGGGCAGCGCCTAGCTCCTAGGCCGACTTTTAAAACAGATGTTTTGATAAGAATATGGTCGAATTAATTATTGGAGTCGAAAACGGCGAGAAATAGATTGAAATGGAGTGCAGGTCATGCATTGGTACAAGCCCCATTACACAGCCCGCAAGAGTAACAAGACAACCCCATTTTATATAATTTGTTGAGCCTAAAAACCAGCCCATCATGGTCAATAGAAGCAGCCTAACAAGAAAACTTTTGGTGAGGGTACAATGGATATTTTACCATGAGAAATTGGTCATCTTCTTCCTCAAACTATCACGTGCATACCACTTCCCACCATTGTTGGTATTTCACCACCTCGCCAGAGCCGACCCAAGCCTAGGGCAGCATGGGCTACGGCCCAGCGCCCAAATGTGGATGTATATACTAAGCTATCTTAACTAAAGTTGGTAAGACTAACTTAAAAGGTACTAAATAATAATTGACAACTTAAAGCGCTTAACTAAAGTTGGGTAAGGGCATCCGCATTTGTTAATTTTTTTTCCATTCATTCAATAAAAAAAGTACACTCTCTCTCTTCCACATCATTTCCAAATCACCTTTACACTAAATCTCTCTCCATTTAAACACACACCCACATCCCTACACATTCATTTAAATACATATGTGGGACCAATTTTATTAAAACAAAAAAAAATCAAGATTAAACAATTAAATTAATACAAAATAATAAAAAAAATAATAATGAATGCCCGTTCAATGGGCTGAATGAATTTGGGGGCCCCGCAAAATAATGAACGCCCACATTGGTTTTGAATGCACAGGTGGCATTTAAACAATTGAATGAGGGCATATTAATGGCACAAATTTGGGTGCCCTAAGACTAACTTAAAGGCAGTAATGCTAAAGAGCCAACAGTTGGCTCCTTAACATTATTGAACGTACTCATAACAATCTTGCACTCTTACTGGACATAAATTAATATATTAATATATCTAGTAGGAAATTAGCATATCCATGAAGTGTTGGAAAATCACAACACACGTTTTAATGTGCTTGGATAAAAGTGAAATGTGATGCATAAATTTTATTACTTGGATGCTTAAAGCCGGCCATTACATTGGGCGCCATGTACAAGATAAAACAGACAAAAGCCATTAAAAGCTTGCAAACGAAAATCAAATAGCACACAAAGATCAATAATAACACAAACTCGGGCACGCTCAAAAACCAGTGCCACTCTTTAAATTTTTGCAATTTTCCACTGCTCATAAATCCCTTTCGGGCCATCAGTAAGAAGAGCTTCTGAACGACCCCAGGGCCTTCACCGCCCCTGCCCGGAGGATGTACTGGTGGTAGATGGCGGCTATGGCCGCCCCAATCAGCGGTCCCACCCAGAAAATCCACTGCAGAAAACAACCCTCAACAGTAANGCGCAGGCAAGGTGTTCGACGAAATGCGCGTCTGAGAGAAAACACAAAAATAAATACCTGATCGTCCCATGCCTTGTCCTTCCCGTAAATCACGGCAGCCCCAAAGCTCCTTGCCGGGTTTATTCCGGTTCCGGTGATCGGGATCGTGGCCAGGTGGACCATGAACACGGCAAACCCAATGGGAAGTGGCGCCAGGACCTGTCAAAGTGCCAAAATGAGAATGCTTTCCACTTAATCACTAAACCTAAGGTTTTCGATTGATTATTGGAGGAAGTTGAGCTTACCGGAACATGAGAGTCCCGGGCATTCCTTTTGGGGTCGGTGGCTGAGAAGACAGTGTAGACAAGAACAAAAGTGCCGATAATCTCTGCCGCCAGGCCTGTGCCGGTGCTGTAGCCGGCCGCCAGCGAGTTTGCGCCTCCACCATATCTCGTGTAGTACGTTTTTTGGAAGGCTTTCACGAACCCACATCCGCATATGGCCCCCAAGCACTGTGCCACTATATACAGCACGGCCCGAATGAGAGATACCTTTTGGGCCAAGAACAGCCCGAATGTCACTGCAGGGTTAATGTGCCCCCCTGAAAAAAAAGGGATTACCTTTGTTATTCATCCCGTGCTTTTGCAAGCGCTAAACCGCCGAAAATGACTGGTATTTCTGCAAATTATCGCATTTTTCATTTGGGTTTTTGCAGAAGTTGCGAAAATTGCCAATTTTTCACCATCTTTGCAGTGTTTCTATGGTCACAATAGACAAAGATGACATTTTTTTTTTTTGTTTTGGCAAATTTCACTTCTTGATTCTGTTTCTGTTTTGACTTCTACACAAATTTCACTGCAAATTATCTCATTTTCAGTTGGGTTTTTGCAGAAGTTGCAAAAAACTGCCACTTTTTCACCATCTTTGCAGAATTTACTGCCTTTGCTTTGTTTGCAGTTGTTTTTTATGGTCATAATAGACAAAGATGACATTTTTTTCTTTTTTCTGCAAAACTCACTTCTTGATTCTTGTTTCTGTTTTGACTTGTACATAAAAACAAATCACATTAAATGTATTTGTAATCGATCGACACAGCAAGTGATAATACTAAAGCTCACCGGAAATGCCAGCTGTGCAGTAAACGAGTACGAAGATCATGCCGCCAAAGGCCCAAGCAATACCGAGAATGCCGACTCCACCACACTCATCGGCTGCACTCTGGATTCTGTAACCGATCACCGTCAAAACCGTAACATATAAGAACAAAAGGGTAGCAATGAACTCGGCAATCACAGCCCGATATAATGACCATTTGCCGAGCTCTTCTGGGTCGATTAGTGGTGCCGGGGGAGGGTCCTGATAGTCCCTGGTGCCTCCAACCTCAATATCCTTAGCCATTTACAATTTTTTTTTTTTTGGGGGTCTTTTTA